TATCGCACATAACTACTGTTTGAACTTAACATTTGTTTAAGTATAAAATAAAAAAAATTATAAGTATGTACGTGTTCTGGGAACTAAGTTAACGATTTTACAATACACCTATTAGAAGGGTCATTTGTGTTCACAATTTTGAGCACGAAATCAAATAAATAATCGTGCTTACCACTAAAATTATAGTACTAAATACATATCGCTTTTAACCCCAACTTTTAACAAACTCCAACCTTTTTTCACACACAAACCGAGCATTCCAATATAGAATTACAGAGGTAGGAAGTATGGGAAGCGGCGACTGAGGGAAAGTTCACAGGAAAAGAATCTAAAGCTGAAACAATTCGGGAAGATAAATAAGAAGTTTAATATGGCTGTGAACCGTCTCACGATGCTATCTAGGAGGCAGGGCGAGGGCCAAGGCCTCCTCAATAGCAGCTGTCGTGCCTCGATCACAAGATCGGAGATTGTGATGGCAGTGGACAATAAACGCTACCTGGACCAGGTTATCAATGGAAATACCTTCCTTTCACAACACCCTGGCCTGGAATGTATCGACAATGCTGGAGGTTGATCCATCAGTTTTATAGCATCCCTTAGTCGGCTCAGTAGCCCTACGGAATGTGCAAGGGCATCAATCTTTGCGTGCTATTGTTAGTTCCAAACTCGATATTTCGTAATGTGTCCATTTTCAGGATTAGGATTGTCAAATGGTTATTTATTTTTTTACAAATTCAAATATTTCCTAATAGAAGAGCCCATGTCCAAGAACACAACTATCCAATTTTTATTTATTTAATTTTTAGGAATTAGTACCATGATGAAATTTTCATATTTTAAAGGGAATTCATAATTATTTAGTTTAAAATATGATATTTTTGTGTATTTTGAAACATCTAAGTTCTTATCATAAGTAAAAGATTAGGATTGATCTCAAAATTTTTCTGTTTTGTGTTTTATTGTTCGCATTATTTATAGTATTTTAACCTCCATTATGAAACATGAATTTATTTTTTAAAGTTTCACCCTGTACGATTTTCAACAGTCAATTTCATAAAATCAAATTTCTTAGTATTAATATTTTTTTAAGTGGACTTAACACAATTCATTTAAAAAGGGTTTACTTCACAAAATTATTTCGTGAAATGTGTGTGTACACAGTTTAGGTTCTTATCAAGTATTCAGATTATATTTTAATCTCATTCGAGAATTTATTTAACTCTTATTCGTCTGTAGTCAAACAGTATAAGCCCCACTCCAATAATATACGTATGTTCTATTCAGTTTTAGTATGTAAAATGTGTAAATGTATTCACTGTGAAGTATGCTTTACAGTTAAATGTTACTTTGATAAAATAGAGGTTCTTATCACAAGCCTACGGATTATATTAATCCGAAAAGTTAAACCATTTTCTGTTATTTGTCCAGTAAATAGATTAGGTTTCCAATATACTCATATATTGGAATGATTATGATATTATTCCAATACATGTGTATATTAGACATCAAAATCATTCCAATGAATATGTATATTTTACATCATAATCATTCCAATATGTATATTTTACATCATAATCATTCCAATACATATGTATATTTTACATCATAATCGTTCCAATACACACGTATATTTTACATCGTAATCGTTCCAATACACACGTATATTATTTATTTTTATTTGTTTGAACAGATTGTAAAATAAATTATGATAAAAAAAATTCTTTAGCAGTTAACGCTTCAAAATTGTTTAATTAAAAATACCCTTTTATACAACTCATCATATTTAATTTTATAGCTTGACATAACCTCTACAAACCAAGCTTTGAGCAAAGTTAATTTCCCCGAAAATATTTCTTAGGGTTACCCAGCATTACAGCGCTATCTATACCAATAAATACAAAATGTATTTAAGTATATAGAGATAAAATGTAAGATACGTTGGACAGGTTCCCTCCATAAACCGAGCGTGGTTGCGAAGATAAGAGTGTATTATCATAGCAACGAGCACGCCCGCTGACTACCAAGTAGCGAGGCTACATGGTTAAGTGAACAAACAACAGCTGAGTAGACTGCTTCATGGAGAAAAGGACAAACTTGTGTAAACCGATTAACTTTAGATTAGGATACTTTGTGAACTCAATAGACTAAGAGCCCTTGTGATAGTCTCGTCTAAAAGTAGAATTTCTAATTTATAAGTTGTCATAAAAATAGGTTCATGTGAATCTGTATGTTTTGGGTAAAACAATTAAAACGTCCACTGCTAAGTGCGTCATAAATATGTCAGCAGGTATATAAATGTATGATGTATATAATTTTATAATATATTTTTCTTAAAAATTTATAGAATAGCGCGCCACATAGATGATTGTGTTTATGTTTTTAGCCAAATATATAAATTATTACATATTATTATCAGTGAATGTGTTACCGTCTTCACTGACATGTTAACAATCGTAGTTCATGAAATTGATCAACACAAACGCTTATTCAATTCCTTTAATTACATCAGACTACAACCTCATGAAGTTTCAAGAGTTTAGGAAATATTGATCGGTCTTATGTCAACAAAAATGCATGTTTAAACTGATTTTTTTTCAAAATTTACCTTGGTAAAATTGTGAAAAGTTAACAACTGTCTAATAATAATCTCTTCCTAGGAAAACAAGCTCTTGAAGACGAGAATTTTGCGTTCTTATAATTTGCTCCTATAAAATCATCGCAGTATCCTTTAATTTTATTTAGTCTGTGCTCGCTACCCACACAGAGGATCTTTACAACGCACACTTCGAGAAAAATAACCATAGTAAGTATAATTTAAAGTACTAATAATAAAGTGTATACTGTAGTTTCGAATTTCAACAGTTGGTAGTTGGTTTAATCGAATATTATGGAAATCGTACACTATTTACCTGAATCATTTGGCACAGAAAAAACGACGAAGAGTTTTCAACAAGAACCGGGTTTGGACCGTTCCCTCACAACAATCGTTAACAACAACAACAATAATCGTTATACACTGGTGTAAATTCGCACAAATTAAATCAAACCGTAACAAAGTAAATACAGTGTGACCACAACAAAAACTAAATTCTGAGAAAGATAAAACTACAGTAGTACTTTATGTAAAGGAAATCCGCAAAAACTCCCTTTCCAAATTAACTTGTTAGGGTAGATAAATTCGTATTAAACCTCCAGTTGGGGGTAAGGTGGTCACAATACATTGTAGCAGGTTGCTAGTTTTACGCCCAGGTTTGGAGCAAGTCTAGCGTACTTTATGCCTCCCTGTGGGACCTCAGCCAGAGAATAAACCGGACCTTTGAAATGAGCAGTTTTTGTTCCAAGCCAACATGGAATTACCAACGCGTTGATAACCGATTTTACTCTATACACGAATATTAATTAGTTCTTTGTTATGACAACATTTGTATAAACATCCTTGTCGTTTACACGTGAGGTATGTCCTTCAATAATGAAAAAAAAATTCTTCATAAATTACGTTGAAAATATTTATTCAAAGATAACTTCTAGGGTACTGTACCGAGTTATACTACATTTTCTTCTTGTAAGACTAGCTTGGGTTCGTTTCACACATACTTCAGGCTAGACCTAGGGATTGCAGCAATATCATTTAGATAAAATCCATTGGTGATATGGCGGGATTTGAACCCGGAATCTCAGGACCGAAGTCCCACTCTACCACTAGACCAGCTCGCTCACCTACTACAGTATAAGCTTGTTCTCGCTTCGATATCGACCAGAACTTGCTCCTGAGCTTTCAAAGTTATGTGTGTTTTTAAGTATTAATCGATTAACTTCTATGACAACAAAGAATGCTTATAAGGTTTACTTTTTCCCAGTAGGACTTTTGTAAGTTAGTAAACGTATTCTATCACAAAGCTGAGGAGTTTACAAAAACATGTCTCATTAAAAGTGATTCGTAATGAGCCCGTGCTCTGGGCTACAAGGCCACAGCAGCTACGATTATAAAATTATAATAATTATGGAAACAATTTACTTATTTAAAACGATTCTTCAGTTTTCCTATGACATTCCGTTGCTAATACCCAAAATAGGTAGTGTCGGCCTAGGCATTTTCGTCCTTAACCCGTATTAAACTTAGCTTTAGATAATACCTCGCGATGGAAATATATCACAAGTAGTTTTGCGATTTTAAACCTCGCTTCGATTTCCCAGCAACTTTCCACCTTTCCAAGAATTCCCAGCACAAACCAAAATAATTATTTGAATCACTTGGTTATTCCTTGGCGGATAACCCTATGACATCCGCAAGAGTGCGAACAAGGGGGTTTAGCGCTCCAAGTAAGGTAAGCTCATTGAACCGCTCTTTTAAACGAATCGTTCACCTGTTTCGGCTCACATATTGTACACTTTCATCCAACTATCACTGTGATTCTCATAGTTTTTAAATCCATCAACCAACAAATATTAAAGAGAGTAAAATATTTTTTTGCTTATATAACCTCTCTATAGCCTATTTGACTATATGTTGACAACCCAGATAGGTTCGATAAGGTTAGATTAGGTTAGGTTAAGTTAGGTTAGGTTTGGCTAGTTCATGCTTGGTTAGGAAAACGCGCAGAATATTCTATTATGTCAACTGAACTCATCTGGAACTTGAAAAACGGTCAAAAATAGATGTTCAGAATTTAGCACAGATTTGTTTATAACACATTGATCTTACCCGAAGTATGAAAAATTGAGAGTACTGTACAGAATTTTCAGAGCTAGACTGAACCATACCTTGGCCAACCATACTTGACTGTTTTGAAAAACTTTTAAGCCTTATGAGTATACTTCAAGCCAAATGTATAGTAGCTCTATGTGAACTGAAATAGAGAACGATTCATTTCGAAGAGTCGTTTACAAGCTCTCGGCTCACACCCTTTTTGAGCGCAACCCAAATCATTCCCTACTTCACCCTCCCGTGTAAGCAAAATTTATGCTACTAAAACTACATTTTCAGGTAAAATAACACATACCTGCACTCTACACTTGACAGCCAAATCCCTCAGGTCGTCCGCCAATACTGACACCCTAGCCTCGGTCTGCGCCCTCAGGACATCCACGTCACGACGAACAGCGATGACGTCACTCCTCACCACTCGCACCTCCTCACCCAGGGTGTCCCCTCGGCTGCGGAGCTCCGTGACGTTCACAGAGGCGGATATCTCCGCCAGCTCCGACCTCAGCTCCGCAACGGCTCCGGACACCCAGGCCACCTTCAGCTGCTCGTTCTTCGCAGCAGCGCCACTGCGGAGTCGCTCCACCTCCGACCTGAAGACAAGATAAGTTAGGGTAAGGTCTTTGGTCTAGGTGGAACACCAATCATAGTTTTGCACAATAAGCTCATAACCCACCACAGGATGAAAAGTTTTAGAAGGAGATGAAGAAGAAGAAGTTTTATTTTAGAAGCCACAACCCAACGTCGTCCATCGGGAAATCATGATTACTAAAGTTCTCAAGATTTATACGGTTAAAGGAGAAGATTTCCTGGGATCCCACCACACTACACTACTTTTTAGCTTAATGTGTATATCAGCTGTCATCTGTTTAAAAGTTAGATTGAGGCATAGACTGATAGACTAACCAACACAAGTAGACTTCTCATCCCATTGTAAATTTTGAAGCTCGTTTTTTGTTTCCGGACATCGTCCGGTGACAATGATCGCTAGTTTCGACGAAATTATGTTTATATTATTTTATGGTTCATAATTTACTGTTTTTTTGTTTGGTTATGAAACTAGGGAGCGAGTAATTGTTTATGATTAGATCGTTTATTGGTTAAACGAGGTTTTAAATGACTGCAATAACAACTAATTGTAAACAATTCTACAGTGCACCGGGAAGAACTAACAATAAAATTGGCTTTAGATGTTCCATAAGTATGAGAAATCTACTAAGTATGTTTTATCTATGGTTGAGGTGAAAATGATGGAGTCGCTTCCCCTCAAACCGTCCAATCTTTGTGTAGTAGATTAGAACTAAAAAACCAAACAGATCTGAACATCTTTGTGTACTGCAGGCTTATAATGCTACAGTAAAATTCGAAGTATTTTTATGTGTCTGATGTCCGTAAGGCAAGTGAATACATCAACCCTTAGAAATTATGTAAAAACTGCATAAATTATAATCAATCTGCATGCATTTACCGAGAATCCTTTCGGGCTGCACTTACAAATATTAAACTGAATGTAGATGAGAGTGTTTAAAATTGAAGGGAAAAAGGTTTGTCTAAAAAGAAAGAAAAGGTGTGTAAAGAAAGAAATAGTGGAGAGTGTAATTGACTTTGCATACTACAAGTATGCACTACAGTATACTACAGTTAATCATGAAACAATATTTATTGTGTTTTATGCCATAATAATATTGAATGCGTTGAAGTTGAATGGTTGCTTTTTCTTTTCAGGTACGTTTTACAGTTAGCCCATTACTTTATGGTTATAATATCAAAGTTCAAGCAAAAGGTTATGGATAGGTATTTGGTTAACAGTGTTTCAAAGTTGGTGAAACAACAAGAAATTTTAAACGCCAAAAGGTTTTCTACAAATATCTGTAGAAAACTATTGTTCTTCACCTGACCCATAAAGACAAATCTATGATATTAGTTTAGTATCTTTTGGAGGCTTAGAGTATTCATGCAAGGGACCTATTCTGTCAACTCAATACCACTAGTGGAATGTGGTTAAGTCAGGTTAGGGTAAGGTTATGATATGTTAGGTTAGGTTAGGTTACCCTATGTTATGTTAGGTTAGGTTTTGCTAACTATATACTAAACTCTATACTAGCCTAACCTAACCTAACCAAATTTTAATTCACTACCACTTCTAATCCTAATAATCTATTGATCACTCCCCCCCACTACTAGTTTATACAATTTATTCATTTAAATATAAATTGTTACTAGTGTTTATAATTGTGGTAGTGAATCAACGGATAAGGTCCCATGTAAGTTAGCATAATATATCATGTTCTAGGTCTGTTGAGTTGAGAGGTAAAGAAATCAATAGGGTTTCAAAAGTAATCGATAGGGTTGTAGGAAGCAGTCAAAGGGGTTTCCCGAATGAGAAATGAAGTGTCCGAGGGCTATTTTGTGGTCACGGTCGCCTAGGGGGGAGTTGCTGCTAAGAGGGGAGTTGCTAGACCGAAACTCCTCGTGTAGCACATGTGATCGATCTTAAACACTAATGCACTGTCATGATCTGGCCTGACAACACCTTCGAGCCTAACAACTTACAGTAGTTACGTCTAATGGAACTGACGTTTTAACGAACTTAAAACGGGGATGCGGAATACTATCCCCCGGAAAACTACCCCCCAGGTGAAACGTGACGTCACAAAATCTGCTAACTAACCAATATGGAAGCCGTGTCCGTGACTGGAATACTACACCCCCAGACAAATCATGCTATGTAATTTTAATTCAAGTAATTCCTTTGGATAATAGAAAAGGCGTGGTGAATATAAAACAGATTTTCGAAATGTTACAGCAAGTTTGGTTGGTTAGGTTTAGATTAGAACTGTTTGACAACTAAATTTGAGTGCCCTTGACTGAAAAACTGCCACCCCCGGTCTCTGACGTCAATATGACGTAGGAACCTGCCTGGGGGGTAGTTTTCCGGGGGGAAGTCTTCCGGCGACCCCTTAAAACACCATGTTTGCCAAATAAGTATCCTGTCAAAAGACAATTCTGCAATGCACCACTTCAACTTTAGCTTTTTTTATAACTTAAGCCAATATAATTAGCACTCTCGTACACAACACCGGTCATAGTCTCCGGATTTGTCTTAAATTATCAAGAATTATTTTAGATGCAGGCACCACCTAGCGTATTTTAACCATAGAACTATAGACAATTTTAACCCAAGGATTAGTGTGGAAAGAGTTGTCAGATGATCTGTGCAGCTTTGTTGCTGAATAAGATCAGCTGTTTCATCAGTCAGGATTATTTATTTAAAGCCCAATGATCAGGGACAACTGGGTTCGGTTTCGAAACATCAAAACGCTACTGACTTTTCTCAGGATCAAACCGGTGACCTTTTGATTATTGACACATCCACTCAGCTACCCGGCCAGTCCGTTCTGAAATTGCCATCTGCATAGAGTATTTCTTGCACTTCCACCATTGCCTACTATAAAGTAAAACTTCCAGATTATAACAAATTTTCACATCAGTACTGCATAATCAGTACAATCAAAGAGGAAGATCAAAAATATTAATTATTATTTTAGCGTTATTCGAGCAAGAATTTACTACCTTTATTCCAACACTCGGTGATTTCCACTTTACCTTGCTTGGGGCTTTGCTACGTAATTGATATCGGAAACTCAAATTGATATCAGGAGTTAGCCGAGAGTTTGAAGTGAATAATTACCAACTGACTCCCCTTGGAGATTCGGCGGGGGGGGGGGGCGAACAATAGCGTGGATACGGCGTTAACTTTGTGTAAAAGTTGTGTTGAATTGTTATAACATTTAATTTTGAACATACCTGACTCATTGTCTGACATGTCGTGAGATTTGCACATTTTGTACTCAAAGAGATCTAGTGCAGAAATTTAATTCTCATCCGACTACTTTTTCATAACTTTTAGTTGTAGATAACATCGTGAACCAGTTGAAAATGTATATTAACTCACAGAGTGGGTACTCTGTGATAAACTTATAAGCATAAGTATGAAATTTGACGTCTGTAGATCCCAGATTTCTAACCAATATAACCTCATTGTCTTTCGAATTGTGGATTTGACATCGCATTTTCAGGATTCAGCTGTACAAAATATTTTATTAAAAAAGGGATACAGTACAAATTTTATTTTCCCCCTGTAGTGTGATAGTTGTAATGAAATAAAAGATGATATTTACAAAAGTTCCCCTTTTAATTGGACTTGGTCGACACGGTTAACAAGTTGGCGAATTCAACGAAATTAGTAATTTACATTACCGGAGCTGTAGTTTCGACTCAACCAGTTCAATTGTGTTCTACATTTTGCTGCAGCTTTTGAATAGAAATGGATTGGCTAATCATAATCAACGGAAATACAAATATTCTTTATTTATCTATAACACGAGTTTACTCGAATTTTATTCAATCCAGAGACCGAATATTATTAATTTAATCCTATCGTGAGAGCAAATCAAGATATAGGAGATGTGAGATTAGGCTTAAATATCGATAAGGGGTTTAAATTGATATCAGGCTTTGATACGCTCTAGGGTTCAGCTGAATTATTGTACAGTTGATCAGCTTAGCTCAGTAGCTCAGATGTTCAGGTTCAATGGGCACAGAATTGGTTGGTATACACTTGTCCAAATACTCAACCCCACGCTTTGGGTTCAAGAGTAAGAGTTGAGTTACACCAAACCCCTTTATTATAAATTTGATGTTGCACGTTCAACGGAGTTTGAACTTAGGAATACAAGTCAATTATATCTGTTTAACATACTGTGCATACTACTATTGGTTATAGAATTATGTGAGCGTTCTATAACCAATAACAACACGTAAAATGAATATACATACTAAATGTAAAAACATTCTAATCATCATATCGTGTGTGGGGGCATAAATGGTGATTTTCCCATAAACACATTAAATAACGGAAATATTTTACGGATTTTCCCCAAAACAGCTTGATCAGTTTTGAAAAAAAAGCTGTAATCACCGTTCATGTATTGAAATAAAATATCATAGTTACTCCCATCATTATAAGGGTTGTTGACAGGCTAATGGAAAAAAATACGTCTTATTGCTGATACCGTTTATTTAATAAATAGTTGTAGGTGGTTTGTTATAAGTATTGATCTAAAAAAGCATATTTTGAATATGCGAATTTTTTTTCTTAATACAGAGAAGAGGACTGAGAAACAAAAGAATATGTTTGATGGTAATGAATATTAATTATTGATATGGGGACGCTACCTAGGTGCGCATTTTAACCTAAAGATGAGTGTAGAATGGTGTGAGATCTGTGTAGCTTTGTTACTGACTAAGATCAGCTGTTTCATTAGTCAGGATAATTTATTTAAAGCCCAATAAGGACAGCTGGGTTCGGTTTCGAACCATCAAAAAGCTACTGACTTGTAGTCTTTTTTAGTAGTATTAGGAATTTCTCGTTTGTGAACGATCAATAACTGAATGAATGACAGTCTAAGGACAAAATAACAATGCAAACGTAAAATCAAGCAAATTCCCTCATACATGCAACCTTTCATGTTATTCTTGTTATCTCCACTACATACAATGTGGTATGAATTGGGTTCACCAAATGTAGAGA